AAATAAACTAAAAGAAAAGAAACGAAATCACCTAGTTGGGTTACCTCCCAACAAGCGCTAAGTTTAACGTCTTCAGCCAGACGGATGGCCCCCAAACTTAAATGGAGACACCAGGGCACTCATCATGATATAAAGCTTCAAAAATTTCGTGCGTTGCATCCTCTCATTAAAGCTCTAGTCTTTGTCCATTCACTTTAAACGTGGATTCATCCTTGGGATTATGAATTTCAATTGCACCATGAGGAAAAACATGTTGTACTAAGAAAGGACCAGACCAACGAGATTTAAGCTTACCTAGAAAAAGGCAGAGTCTAGGGTTATAGAGCAACACTTTCTGACCTGGAAAAAATTATTTTCAAACAATTAACTTATCATGATAGGCCCTCGTTCGATCCTTGTATATCCTTGCATTCTCATAGGCTTCATTTCGTAGTTCATCTAGTTCATTCAATTGAAGCTTTCGTGCTTTCCCAGCATTGTTTAAATCAAAATTCAATCGATTGATTGCCCACAAAGCTCTATGCTCCAACTCCACTGGAAGGTGACAAGTTTTCCCATAGACAAGTCGATAAGGAGACATGCATATAAGAGTCTTATATTGTGTTCTATACACCCACAAAGCATCATTTAAACGAACAGACCAATCCTTCCTTGTAGTGTTGACTGTCTTTTCCAAAATTCTCTTGATTTCTCTATTCGAAACCTCAACTTGACCACTTGTCTAAGGATCATAAGATATAGACACCTATGGGTTATGTTGTACTTTTTCAGGAGAACTTCAAAGGGCTTATTACAGAAATGAGTGCCTTTGTCACTGATAATGGCTCTAGGAGTCCCAAACTGAGGAAATATGATGTCTTTGAGGAAAAACGAAACAACTTTATGATCATTGGTTCGAGTAGCCAAAGCCTCAACCCACTTGGAAACATAGTCAACTCCCACCAATATATACTAATAACTATAAGAGCTTGGGAAGGGTCCCATGAAATCAATACCCCACACATCAAATAACTCAACCTCTAGAATGTTGTTGAGTGGCATCATGTTTCGATGCGAAATATTTCCCATCCTTTGGCAACGATCACATCTCTTGCAAAAATCATATGCATCTTTAAACAAAGAAGGCCAAAACAATCCAGATTGCAATACCTTAGCATCAGTTTTCTTAGCCCCGAAATGTCGTCCACATGCAAAACTATGGCAGAAAGTAAGCACACTCTGCTTCTCTTCTTTGGGAATGCATCTTCGAATAATTTGATTTGGACAATGCTTGAACAAATATGGATCGTCCCAAAAATAATGCTTGGCCATATATTGAAGTTTCTTTCTATCTTAACGATTACTCACTCCAGGAAAGTCTCCGGTAGCCAAGTAATTCACAATAATTGCAAACCAAGGAAAATTTGTTTTGGAAATGGCAAAGAGTTGTTCGTCCGAAAAACTCTCATTCAACGGTAACTCTGCTTCAACATCTCTTAAAGCTGAAACCAACACCGAAGGATGATCTGCAACTAAATTCTCTGATGCCTTCTTATCTCAAATCTCTAGGTGAAATTCTTGCAGCAAAAGAACCCAACAGATCAACCTGGGTTTGGCCTCTTTCTTGGTAAGCAAATACTTGGGAGCTGCATGATCGGAAAATACAATTACCTTAGAACCAATCAAATAAGACCTGAATTTCTCCAATGCAAAAACCACAGCTAGCAACTCTTTTTCAATGGTCAAATAATTCAATTGAGCATCATTAAGGGTCCTGCTTGCATAATAAATAGCATGGGGCAGCTTGCCAACTCTGTCCTAAAATTGCTCCTACTGCATAATCAGAAGCATCGCACATTAGTTCAAAAGGAAGACTCCAATCTGGAGCCATCATAATAGGAACATAAGTTAAAAGATTTTTATGAGAGTTAAAAGCATGCAAAAACTCATTATTGAAATCAAATGTGGCATCTTTAGCAAGGAGATCACATAAAGACTTCGATATCTTAGAGAAGTCTTTGATAAATTGACGATAGAAACCAGCATGCCCCATGAAAGATCTAATTGCTTTGACCGAAGTCGGCGGTGGAAGATTAGCAATCAAATCAATTTTTGCTTTATCCACTTCAATACCTCTACTGGAAACCATATGTCCCAATACTATGCCTTGTTGAACCATGAAATGACATTTCTCCCAATTCAAGACCAAATTGGTCTCCTCACATCTTTCCAGAACCTAAGATAGGTGATCGAGGTAATCATCAAATGTAGAACCAAATACTGAAAAGTCATCCATGAATACCTCGATAAATCTCTCCACCATATCAAAAAAGATGGCCAACATGCACCTCTGAAAAATAGCAGGAGCATTGCATAACCCAAACGACATTCTCTGGTAAGCAAAAGTGACAAAAGAGCAAGTGAAGGTGGTCTTCTCTTGATCATCTGGAGCAATAGGAATTTGATTATACCCGGAGTAACCATCTAGAAAGCAATAATGACTATGCCCTGCCAACCTCTCCAACATCTGATCAATGAAAGGCATGGGAAAGTGATCTTTGTGTGTTGAATCATTCAGCTTTCGGTAATCAGTACAAATTCGCCACTCGGTTTTCAACCTCATAGGTATCAACTCATTGTTCTCATTCTTTACCATTGTTATGCCATTTCTCTTTGGTACCACCAGAATTGCACTCATGCATTTTGAATCAGAAATAGGATAGATAATCCCAACCTCAAGTAATTTAAGAATTTCTTTTCTTACTACTTCTTTCATATTTAGATTCAACCGTCTTTGATGATCTCTAGTTGGCTTCGCATCATCTTTAAGAAAGATGTAATGCATACACATGGAAGGGCTAATACCTTTTATATCTACTATAGTCCAACCCAAAGTAGTCTTGTAAAGCTTTTCTTCTTCTACCTTAGTCAACTTAGAAGCAATAATAACTGGCAATGTTTCTGATTCACCAAGGTAGGCATACTTCAAGTGTTCAGGTAGTTGCTTGAGTTTCAGCTTTGGAGGTTTCTTGACTGACAGAACAAGATTGCTGAAAACAAGAGGAAGTTCCTTAAAAACATGGTGACCTCGGGCATGATTACTTGAAACTCGGTGCATACTTTTAACCTTAACAATTGCCGGTAATGCGTCAAGTGCAACTTGCATTTCATAAAGTTCACTTTTCGATTCATACTTATCATAGTTTTGAGTAAGACATGACTCCAATGCATCTGAGGAACTAGTAAGATTGAATACTTTTTGTACCTTGTGATCAATGGTGTCTACTAAAAAACAATCATATACCTTCCCCGGTTGCTTTATGGCATCAAAAATTCTGAATTCGATTGTCTCCCCTAAAACTGTCATTGTTAAGAGACCTTCTTTGACATCGATCTTAGTCCCGGATGTAGCCACGAATGGCTTTCCTAAAATAATCGGAATCTCTTTCTCAAGCATCAGAACAACTTCCATATCAAGCACAATAAAATCCACTGGTAGGATGAAGTGATCAACTTAAACAATAACATCTTCTAGAATTCCCCTTGGATATTTTACTGATTGATCTGCGAATTGTAAGACTACTAAAGTTAGTTGAAGCTCTCCCAAACCTAGTTGTTCATACACTGAAAAATGCACCAGATTCACACTAACCCTCAAATCAAGAAGGGTTTTTTTGAACAAATGATTACCAACAGTACAAGAAATAGTAAAACTCCCTGGATCTTTTATTTTCGGTGGAAGCTTCCTTTGTAGTACTGCACTAACTTCTTCAGACAACATCGTTTTCTCATCTTCCTCGAATTTCTTCTTGTTAGTGCACAAATCCTTCAAGAACTGTGCATAAGAAGGAATTTGCTTGATTGCATCAAGGAGAGGAATGTTGATCTCCACCTTCTTGAATTGGTCAAGGATGTCTAACATGTGCTTGTTCTTTTTCGAATTCACTAGCCTTTGAGGATAAGGAACTGGAGGCTTGTAAACTCTTTCAACAACTTTCAGAGTGTCCGAAGTGGTTTTGGCATTTGTAGAATCCTCTTTAGGCTTAAAGTGCAACTTTGGAACAACTGGTGATGTATAATTTACTTTTAAACTTTCAAGCTCAGTTTCCGTTTGACAAGTTTATTCACAATGATCTTACCGGTCCTCAAAGTTACTACTTTGGCATGCTCAAACTGTTGATCCCTTGGATTTGGCTAAACTTGGCTTGGAAATTTTCCACTCTCTTGGGTGTTCATAGACTGAGCAATTTGCCCAACTTGACCCTCCAAAGATTTCAAGGCTGCCTCCATAGTGTTTTGTCGAGTTGTCATGGAGGTTATATTCTTATTGAAATTATTAAGTGTAGTCAAAACCTTATTGTTTTCATCATCAGTTCTTTGCATGAATCCTTGCATCATAACTTCAAGTGAAGATGAAGTAGAGTCTAGCTTTGTAAGAACCATTCGCATGTTCCCTTGATAAGGTCTCGGCTGTATTTGCATATTACCCTGATTTCTGTTCTGATTACCATTCCAAGCAAAGTTCAGATGATTTCTCCACCCCTGTTTATAGGTATTAGAGAACGGATCATTCTTCGGTTTCCCTTGATATACTTGGAGCTGATTGGCTTGATCGAACGTATTCTGAGAATAATATTGAGTACATGATTTAGTGACATGATCAAGTTGAGAACAAATAGAACATACCGACTGCACTTGAAAATTTCCTTGATTTACTTGAGGCTAATTTTGATATTGTTGACTCACCATGTTCAACAAATTAGCCATTTGTTTCCCAAGTGTCTCAACCTTGGCTTCTAACTTGATATCTGAATTAATCTCATACATTCTAACCTTCTTCATGGGTGCTTTAGTCTTTCTTTTTCCTTTCTAAGCTGATTAAGTAGCTAAAGTCTCAAATAAGGCTATAGCATCCAGATAGGGCTTCATTACCAGGCCATCTCCACTTTGGTTATCCATTCGCTATTTTGTCACTCTTATTAAGTCCATTATATAAGAACTTAATTTGTAACCAATCTGCAAAATTATGGTGAGGGGACATACTCAAAAGCTTTTGATAACGTTCCCATGCTTCAAAAAATGGCTCATCTTCCTCTTGTGAAAAATGCATGATTTCTTGCCTCAAAGCATCTGTTTTAGTATCTAGAAAGAACTTTAAAAGAAAAGCATATGTGAGCTCAGTGAAACTCCGGATTGTTCTTGGCTTCAAATTATGCAACCAATCTTTAGCTTTGTCCCGAAGTGAATAAGTAAACAATCTCATCTTGATTTGATCTTGATTTGATCTTGATCTATGGTTGGATGTGTGATTGTGCTTATAGCTTCAACATAAAGCTTGAGATCATCAAAAGGATCATCCTGAGTCAACCCATGAAAATTAGGGATCAACGACAACATGGATACATTCAACTGCATACTCGGAGGAGCACCATTCAGAAGAACTAAGCACTGAGGTTCATTAGTGAAATGGGGAACCGAAATAGCCGCCATGGGCTGAGGTCTTTCCTGTTCCTCTTCCATGTATTGCGATTCTTTTTTCCTTCTTAGATTTCACAAAGTACGTTCGATCTCTGGGTCAAACGGAACTCACTCAAGACTTCTTGAACGCCTTTCGTTCATATACCAAAAGGCAAGCACCTCAAATACGGAGAAAAAAAATAAAAATTAGAAAACAAACTAATATATACAACAAAGGGGTACACAATTAGTACTCGAATCAAAGGCAATTGTTCCCCAGCAATGGCGCCATAAACTTAATGCGTAAATTAGAGCAACCTAAAATAGATTAATTATAATCACGTTTATCCGCAAGTGCACGGTTTGTAGATAGTATAAAAGTGCAAATACGGAGTCGAATCCCACAAGGAACGGTGATTTAATTCGATAACTAACCACTTAACGCACAAATGAAATTGAAAATATTATTGAGAAAGGAAATTAAAGGAAATATTGGTTGTGAAGATTAATACTAAGAGATAAAATTGCTGAAAGTTTAAGAAAATAAATAAATCAATAACAATAAAACTTAAAAACAAACAAGACATTAAGGGCAAAGGCATCCAATTTCACCAATAACAATCCTATTCCGATTCTTAGCTATCAACTATCCAATTAACAACTCTTATGTTGATGATTAAGTTTCCCAACTCTATAATCCGATCATGATGTATGCATCAAATTATATTCTTCTAAGAAGCAACCTAGCATGGTGTATGCCTAGATTTCACAACTTGAAGTTTCTAAGTACAATGGAAACTTTCATACAATCACACAAAACCTAGAACATGGTGTATGCTTCTAGTAAATTGTGATCTCAAATTCATGCTTCTAGTAAATTGTGATCTCAAATTGATCTAACTTGAATGTATGATTGAGCTTATACATTTTAATGATTAAATTCATAAATATCTTGACCACATATGAATTTCATATCTTATTGTCTTTTAGCCTCTATATTGGTATTTGTAGCAAACAAATGGGTATCTCTATGAGAAAATGTAGCAAACAAATGGGTATCTCTATGAGAAAATGTTGTAGATCGATGAATATTTTCAATCTAGATATTTATTAGATACCAGAAATTATAAGTCTATTCGCGAAAGTCGAAGTCAATGCCACGTACAATATTTGTTAAGACATATTTAGAGAACTGTTATTAGCACTCCAAAAATCTCATCATACACTCTGCACAAATGTATTTTCCTTTCTAATTATAGAAAGTTTGGAGTGCCAAATAAGATTTTTTGAGTGCTAATAACAATTTTCTATATTTATGTACATTTTATTTTAGTTTGGAAGTTGAATTCCTTTTTTTTCTTTTTTTCTTTATCAAGTTGGGAGTATCACAGACTGTGACCCTGTGCACCTAGTTGTTGATTTGTTTTGAATAATCAACATTATTTCTTACAATGTCTTGGGCATATGAATAACAGAAAGAAAACGATCATGATACAAGCTAATAATAGTAATACTAATTAGTAAACAACTTGTGCATGATGTTTGCTTATAACCAAGTAGCATGTAGGGACAAATGTGTAGGTTTCATGCATGACTTGGAATAGTATTAGTAAATGCATGACGTTTGCTTATAACCAAGTGGCATGAAGGGACAAATGTGCATGTTTCATGCATGACTTGGAATAGTATTAGTCGTCGGGAGATTTTGCATCAATTTGTTTTTGTTTTTAATATGTATATATTAAGTTCTATTTTAATGGAATTGTTCACCACCCGTAAGTTGTGGTAATGCCTTTATTTATCGTTGTTATGTGAGTTTAATTAAAATTTGAGATTGTGTTTATCCACTACATACATTTTGATTTTTTTTTTTGAGTCGAGCAATAGCATAAGTGATGTTAGATTAGTCACTGACAAAATTTGAACCCACACACCGTCATGCAAGAGTACAACACTTTTTCACCACTGTAGTAAAGAGCCACTTGCCAACAAGTTGTTTGGCCTGTGTGACTTTATTAATACTATTCCAAGTCAAGCATGAAACATACACATTTGTCCCTTCATGCCATTTGGTTATAAGCAAACATCATGCACAAATTGTTTACTAATTAGTACTACTCTTATTCAGCTTGTATCATGATCGTTTTCTTTCTGTTATTCATATAACCAAGACATTGTAAAAATAATATTGATTATTCAAAACGAATCAACAACTAGTTACACATGGTCACAATTAGTGATACTCCCAACTTGATAAAGAAAGGAAAAAAAAGGAAGGCGTATGAATAACATTAAGAAAACGGTCATGATACAAGCTAATAGTAGTAATACTAATTAGTAAACAACTTGTGCATGATGTTGGCTTATAACCAAGTGGCATGAAAGGACAAATGTGTAGGTTTCATGCAGGACTTGGAATAGTATTAGTAAATGCATGATGTTTGCTTATAACCAAGTGGCATGAAGAGACAAATGTGTATGTTTCATGCATGACTTGGAATAGTATTAGTCGTCGGGAGATTTTGCATCAATTTGTTTTTGTTTTTAATATGTATATATTAAGTTCTATTTTAATGGGATTTCTCACCACCTCTAAGTTGTGATAATGCCTTTATTTATCATTGTTATGTGAGTTTAATTAAATTTTGAGATTGTGTTTATCCACTACATACATTTCAATTTTTTTTTTCTTTGAGTCGAACGATAACACTAGTAAGTTAGATGTTAGATTATCACTGACAAAATTCGAACCCACACCGTCATGCAAGAGCACAATACTTTTTCACCACTATGGTAAAGGGCCACTTGCCAACAAGTTGATTAGCTTGTGTGACTTGACCAATACTATTCCAAGTCATGCATGAAGCATACACATTTTTCCCTTTATGCCACTTGGTTATAAGCAAACATCATGCACAAATTGTTTACTAATTAGTACTACTCTTATTTAGCTTGTATCATGACCGTTTTCTCTCTGTTATTCATACGCCCAAGACATTGTAAGAAATAATGTTGATTATTCAAAACGAATCAACAACTAGTTGCACAAAGTCACAGTCAATGATACTCCCAACTTGATAAAGAAAGAAAAAAAAGAAAAAGGAAGTTGACTTCCAAACTAAAATAAAATGTCTATAAATATAGAAAATTGTTAGTAGCACTTCAAAAATCTCATTTGGCACTCCAATCTTTGTATAATTATAAAGAAAAATACACTTGTGCAAAGTGTAGAATGAGGTTTTTGGAGTGCTAATAACAGTTCCCTAAATATATCTTAACAAATATTGTACGTGGCATTGACTTAGACTTTCGCGAATAGACTTATAATTTCTGGTATCTAATAAATATTCAGATTGAAAATATTCATCAATCTACAAAATTTTCTCATGCAGGTACCCATTTTTTTTGCCACAGATACCAATATAGAGGCTAAAAGACACTACGATATTAAATTCATATGCAGTCGAGATATTTATGAATTTAATCATTAAAATGCATAAGCTCAATTGTACATTCAAGTTAGATCAATTCCCGAATTGGGAAAGAAAAAAAAAATAGATCAATACCCGAAGTTTTGGTCAACAATAAAAATTGCTTACCTAACTTTTTAACCACAATTTTATGTATTGTGAATTTTTGTCCACAACTTTTGTGGCATATAAAGGCTAAAAGATACTACGATATTAAATCCATATGTGGTTGAAATATTTATCAGTTTAATCATTAAAATGCATAAACTCAATTACACATCTAATTTAGATCAATTCCCGAAGTTTTGCTCCACAATAAAAACTGCTTATCTATGAGTTCGCCTTTCAAACGTGCAAAGGCGATATACTTTTTAGCCCCCGTTCAATGTAATGTGAATTGTTGTCTGCAACTTTTGTATCTAATAAATATCCATGGTTTTGACAAAAAAAAAAATCCACGATTAAAAATATTCATTGATCTACCAAAAGCTATCATGGACGTACCCATTTTTCTACCACAATTATGAATATAGAGTCTAGAAGATTCTCATTTAATTGAATCATACCAAACTCATTAAACAATCTAACCAAAAGCTCATTTAATTGAAAAGAAAAAGGAATCAATAGGTAAAAATTGAACCAATTGATTGAACACATACCAATTATTAAGTTAATTAGTTCTCTAGAAATTTAGAGATGTCAAATGACGAAGAAACGGAAGAGGAAGAGGTTTGGATGACTACGGAGGAGTAGATGCAGAATGACAACCATGGGAGATGGAAAGATTTTTTAAAGAGAGAGAGAATGGGCTTTGCTCCATGGAGATGATGGACTGGTTAGAGTTTTATTTTTATTTTTAAGTAGATTGAGTTGGGTGTAAAAAAAAGTTTGATTGAGTTGAGTTTTGATAAGTAAGGGTGGTTTCGGAAATAACGTTGGATGTAAAGAGATAATGATAAATAAATTAAATACAATGTAAGTATAAAAAATAAACTGAGTGTTGAGATACAAAATATGAATTCAAATAAAATTTATGTCTCTTACTTAGATTTAGATGGGCTAAAATTCAAAGCGAGATGACCTTAGATATAGAGCGCTAAAATCCAAATCCTCTTCGAGATTTAATTTTCCTCAATTAATTAATAGCTTACCAAACTAACAAAAGAGTCAACAATTAACAATAAAGAAAAGGAAGACCAAA